TAAAAACGAACATAATAATTCTTACATTTGTACCGATGTATTTCATGTTTCTAGAAACGAACATAATAACTCTTACATTTGTATCGATGTATTTCATGTTTGTAAAAACGAACATAATAATTCTTACATTTGTACCGATGTATTTCATGTTTCTAAAAACGAACATAATAATTCTTACATTTGTATTGATGTATTTCATGTTTGTAAAAACGAACATAATAATTCTTACATTTGTACCGATGTATTTCATGTTTGTAAAAACGAACATAATAATTCTTACATTTGTACCGATGTATTTAATGTTTGTAAAAACGAACATAATAATTCTTCCTCTTCAATTTTCATCTCCCGGTTTATCTAACAGAGAATGGAAATTTCTAGGAAGTGAACCGACAAAAGTTAAAGAAATTGTTTGCCTTTTATCCCTGTTATTCAGTTCACCACGTGGTATTATAGAAACTAACCGATGAAATTGTTTGTCTTTTATCCTCTGTTATTCAGTTCACCACGTGGTATTATAGAAACTAACCGATGAAACTGTTTGTCTTTTATCCCTGTTATTCAGTTCACCACGTGGTATTATAGAAACTAACCGATGAAATTGTTTGTCTTTTATCCCTGTTATTCAGTTCACCACGTGGTATTATAGAAACTAACCGATGAAACTGTTTGTCTTTTATCCCTGTTATTCAGTTCACCACGTGGTATTATAGAAACTAACCGATGAAACTGTTTGTCTTTTATCACTGTTATTAAGTTCACCACGTGCTATTCTAGAAACTGAATATTAACTGTAAAACAGTGATTCACAGCATAATAAAACAGACAATAGTACCACTTATAACTTCCTGTACTAGCTGGACAGTATTATGTTAAAGTTCAATACTCTTAACTGCTATATTTCAACATCCACTAATAGTGATTGATAATGATAAAGTATAAAGTTCACTCTCCTACGTGTTTTTGCTAATAGTCATTGATAATGATAAAGTATAAAGTTCACTCTCCTACGTGTTTTTGATAAAGTTCACTCTCCTACGTGTTTTTTAAATATATAATCTCAAACAATTTTCTTCCAGTACATAAATAATGACAATAAGTGTTTCGTACCAAATGTAATTCTAGCTAACGGCATGGAGTCAAAATAGAGATTTGTAGCTTGAGTAAATAATGTCTACACCATCTCCAGCCTTGTATGATTGCTTTGTTTATTATGACTATCTGTAGGGGGAAACAGGAATCCTAAAAAACAATCAGAAGAAAGATAGCTAGCTTAAAGTGAAAATACAAACAAACACGTTTAATGTTTGAGACACAAGATAAATAAAATATTGGTAATTTAAAACATTGTTAGTATACTCTAACTAACTTTACAACAACAACAAAAACCTTACATAACTAGCACATAGCAACTAAATTTAATGAGGTTCGCTTGTGTTCTTAACATCTGAAACACTGACTGGTTTTAACCAGCCAGTAAGCCCTTACATCACCACAAGAATCAGCTCTTAACCAGTAGACGATGTAATTTGTGCCCGAAAAGTCAGAGGAAACAGTCTGAGAACTAATTAAAAATCATATATAACATGGTTATTAAAAATTGTTAATTTAAAAAGCATATGTCACTGGTTCAAGTCGGTTTTCATGTAGGCGTGTTTCTACTGGATAAAACTGGTTCTTACATGCTTAAGTGTGTACACAGGCTACAACCATTTATCATATGCCAACTAGCCTGGTTTGGGCGCTTGACTTGCAGTCGCGGGTTCGAATCCCATCATCAGAACGTTATAATGTGACAGTCAATCTAATTAATCGATTAGTATCCCCCAAGAGTTAGCTGTGGATAGTGTTGACTAGCTGTCTTCTCTCTATTCATTCTATGCCTTCTACAGCTAGCTGTGATATATGCTAAAGATGAAAGTCAATCTAATTAATCGATTAGTGTCCCCCAAGAGTTAGCTGTGGATAGTGTTGACTAGCTGTCTTCTCTCTATTCATTCTATGCCTTCTACACTCGCTGTGATATATTGTACAGATGAAAGTCATATTTTCAATGTCTAATTAATCGATTAGTGTCCCCCAAGAGTTAGCTGTGGATAGTGTTGACTAGCTGTCTTCTCTCTATTCATTCTATGCCTTCTACAGCTAGCTGTGATATATGTTAAAGATGAAAGTCATATTTTCATGTCTAATTAGGCAGGCGGTAGCACTACCTAAATGGTATTTTAAATTTCTCCACAATATAACTTTACAATACTATACAGTGTTTCCTGTTATAACAATATCCATGTAATGAGTGAGTCACAAGTTCGGGGATTGTCTGTAAATATCATAGTAAAAAGTTTAAATTTCTTGTTCTTCTTTCTTCTGCTTTTTTTATTACATGATAACTTAAAAACCAAAACAATTGTGTCAACCAATTTCACTGAGGTGACATAGTTTCAAACGGAGTATCAGCTTTTATAAGTATTATTAATAACTGGAAGTAATTAAAAAATCATAATTCTAGTGTAAACGATTGTATCATTACCTTTTGAAGTTAGCTTTCTTACAGAAGTATGGTGTTCCTTTAAAAAACTTAAGTACAGGGTGAAACAGGAATTACCAGCAAATAATAGATAAACAATAACTATTACAGTCGGAACAAGACAGTAGAGATGGATGGCCAAATATCAATTATTCAAAAACAAGACAGTAGAGATGGATGGTTAGTATCAATCTTCGAAAAACAAGACAGTAGAGATAGCATTTGCATCACGAATTAACATATAGCAGTATATATATATATTCTATCACAATTGAGTTTAATCTATCCTATTTTTGTCTATTAACATTCTACTACACTGTGTTCCTATGGTATTATGTAGGGATGATGCAAATGTCATCCCTACTATCTTGTTTCCATTGTTTTTTGAAGGATTGATATTAGCCAT